CTTGACTGAATCTCTATATAATCTCTGTTATATAGGCCCTGTGTATTCTCTGAATAATGAGGGTCTCTGAGACAGTTGACAGACCCTAATCTGTTAAAAATCATCTTTCCCTTTTCTTGGACATCTGAGATCATCCAAGAATTAACGTTTTTTTACAGTGCAGCTTCAGCTAACACCTGTGAAGACACACAGCTAATTAATTAACCCTCTGAATGTCTTTCTCCCTATCTCTAACCAATACTGCATAACCTTTAGTTAATGAATATTTGTAATACTCACACCAGGAGATGCATGTTCAGAGCTAAGGGGAATTTTTCTCCTTTAGCTAAATTACTCCAAGAGTCAATGCATTTATCAATGCACAATCAGTTACCTGCTGGACTTTCAGTGGTGCATCTGGTCTCAAATAAAACCCATCCTTTCTTTTTTAATTTTTTTTTAATTTTTGGGAATTGTGGCAGAACAACACACTAACCATTTCATGGCTCCAGTGAAATGAGTGTCTGGTGTCTCCCATGGTTCACATTGTTTTGCAAAACTCCTTCATGGGGATGCATAGCTGGTGAAATAAATTACTTGGAGTACTCTCAGATTGTGTTGCAGGAGTCCTACAGGAATATCCCCCATCACAATTTTCATTGCTGCTTGGATGAGGGGCTAGGAAGGCAGGAATGGGAATTCTGTAGGATCCAGACTGGGATAGGATTGCAAGCCAGTTGACCAGGTTGCTCCGTTACAAATAAAGGGACCATTAAAAATCAGGAAAAAGGGGTTTGTGAGCCACTCTATTCCTCGCAGCATCAGTGTCTGGATGTCAGATATTTCAACTGCACAGCAAGGATGGGAGGTGACACAACCAGACTTCTGCCATGCAAATGAAAGCCTGGTAGGACAATGAGGGCATCAGGGCTTTCAGCAGAGCCAGGAGGCCCTGAAACCTCCAACCTCCCTTCCAGACTGTGCCCAGCCCAATTAGAGCTCTGAAGATGGTGTTTATTTCATTGTGTACTTGTGTGAGGGGAGAAATGGGGAGAGCTCTGCTGCCCCATTTGGGATGCTCCCTGCAGGCACAAATACTGCAACAACTGCTTTTATTGTGGGGCTGTGTCAGAAACAGGGTGGCTGCCAGGCATTAATGGTGTGTAATGGGATCCTGTAGTAACTACGATTAAATGTTTCCTTGGAAATGGGAAGATATTTCTCTCCTTCACAGCACAGATGATGCAAGATGATCCTGAGAAAAAGGATTGGGGTTAAACCATTGTGTTTGCAAAGGAGGAGGTTCTGGTGGAACTCCCAGCCCCAGTGCTTGGGTGCTCAGGCAGCAAGAGAGAGAAGGGATTGGGACTCCTGAAGTGCCTGGATCACATCTCCTGTCAGTGTCTCCTCCTTGGAATTCCTCTGAGAGTAACTGGCTTGATCCTCAGCTATCCTAAATTGGCAACATTATATTGTCACAGACATACTTTATGAAAACTCTTTTCCTTAGGATTTTTCCTCCTGAGAAGCTGAGAGGCCTCAGGAACAAAATGCAAACATTGGTTGTCTGCTGCTGTGGAATGCAACAGGTGCATCTGTGATTGGCACATGTGGTTGTTTCTAATTAATGGCCAATCACAGTCAGCTGGCTCAGACTCTCTGTCCAAGCCACATGCCTTTGTTTTCATTCTTTCCTATTCTATTCTTAGCTAGCCTTCTGATGAAATCCTTTCTTCTATTCTTTTTAGTATAGTTTTAATATAATATATATCATAAATCAAGCCTTCTGAAACATGGAGTCAGATCCTGGTCTCTTCCCTCTTCCTGAGACCCCTGTGAACACGGTCACATTAGATATACTAACTGCTGGGAGCATTGTAGAAAAATATATTTTTAAAATTTTTAATATATTTTCTTTTTAATTTCTATTTTTACATGCTTAGGGCAACCAAAAATGCTTAAAGACCCCCACAAGGACTGCAGAATAATACATTGAAATAGCACATTTCTAACTTGTGTTGGGGGAATTGTGGCTTAGATAGATAAAAATATTCCCAAGAATTTACTATATGGCATAAGTGGTGAAAATCACAAAGCCCAGAAGAGAGCAAAGAGCTGAAATGAGCTCTGGGCTGTGCCTCAGTGTCATTGTGTCTCATCTGAGCCACACAGTGACAGTCACCACAGAAGGTATTATAATGACATTAATTCTTTAATTTATTAATTTATTAATTAATAAAAGAAACAGAATTGGTGGCATTTTCTTACACTGTTCTTTAGCCCCAGAACTCCCGGGTTCTTAGGGGGTTTAATCAGAAAGGATTTATCAGGGAGGATCCTGGAGAATTTGGTGGCTCTGGGGGAAGCAGGGAGGTTCTGTTTCTGAGCTCTGCTGTTCCACGTTTGCTTTGGACCCCAGCACTCAGCAAATGCTGATCTCATCCATAAATTTTGGCAGTTGGCAAATGCTGCTCTGTTTTTCCTCTGAGGACTTTGTGAGATGCAAGACACACTTCAATTAAAAAATGGCAATTTAATGTGGTTATTTTTATCAAAACAAACCAAATAAGATATTCATAATACACAGCAGTGCTTAATTTCTTTCTAAAACCAATTAAAGTTTTGGCTTCCACTAGTGACAGAAAAGTTTGGACAGTTCTAACCCCAATGGCTCCATTTATCCCTCATTTATTATTCTGAGAAAATAACATTTTGAAAGGAAAAACAAACTAGACATTATTAATGCCAGAACTGCCAGGAAATGGGATATAAAATGGAATCTGGCCCACGTGGATGTGGATGTGTGCTATGAAAACCATGAAAACATGAAAACCAAGTGGCCAAATGATGTCCACCCCTGCAGCCAGGTGGATTCACATCTCTGAGGTGCCATTCCATGTCAGAACATCCAGGGAGGCTCAATGAATCTGTCCATGAGGCTGATGAGCATCTTGTCCGTGCTCAGTTTTCCTCCTGGGCACCTTTTTTGTTACTCAGATTTTTATTGAGGTCTCTTAATAAGCTTTGAATTTTCTCTAAATGCAGACACGTGAGAATTCCTGACAGGAGAGCAGTGTCATGCAATGATCAGTTGCTTGTTTCTCAAAAGGCATTTAAAATGTCAGCTGCTATTTAATGAGAAAAGCCTCATGCCCAGAATATAATTTCCTTAAGGAGAATGGCTGCAGCTCCATGAATTCCATGCTGTGAGCTGATTTCAGGAGCCATCACCCAAACCAGCCCAGGTTTTGAAACCATCAGCTGAGCACTGAGGTGGCTCTTTCTCTGAAAATGAGTTCATCTGGCACTGATTTGTCAGAGTCACGTCAGAGGGATGGATGCCTGTGGTGTGCAGCCATGCTTGGGTTGCACTCCTGCTATTTGGGGGTGATAATCTTTAATTGCCAAAGGGCAGAGAGAATTCCATAGCTAAGGAACACAGCTCCTTCCTCTGCTGCTGATGGCAGACAGGACAGACTGCAGGAGATCTGGGGTCTCCTGACATTTTGAGATGAGATGGAGTTACTTATTCTGCTTTTCTAATGCTTGGATATAGGATCATCTCCACAGTGTTGAAATTGAGGGTTATTAAACTGTGAAAGAGCAGAACTTCTTTGCTATCTTCTCAGCCAGTCAGGAGGAGCAGTGACTGACAGGAGAGTGTCAGGAGCAGTCACTGGGGTGAACCCTGCAGGTTCCACACCAGTTAGGGATGGAGTGTTGGTGGGAGGTTCCCTCTCCATTCAGCAGGACACCTCTGCCAAGGATTTTGTGCTGCAAAATGCATCCCTGTGGCTTTCCCATGGTCCAGGAAACAGAGAGGTTCTCCCTTTAGTGCAAGGTGTAATCCAGGGAGGAGCAGGGAGACATCCCAGCCATGCTCTGGTGGGAATCTGCATGTGGATAGAGATGGAGCCAGGAAAGGAGGGACAAATAATTCTAACAGGAGAGCCATGAGACCCAGAGAATGAAAAGTGTGCTTCACAAAGGGATGTTCTCTTGAGGTCTCTGCAGTGACCCAGGCTGTTGGTGAAGGAGGGTTTCCAATGTGTCAGCCAAAGGAATGGCAGGGATGCCTTGGAGTGGCTACCTAGAACAGAGGCTGGACAAATTTAAGATAATAAAGTGGGTATTTATTAAAGGCCTTTAACAGGTTCACCTTGGGCAGTGCAGGAGCCTGGCAGAGGCTACTCCCAAGATGGACAATGGTCACGAGTTTCTCAGACAGATATAAGTTTGGTCTGTTTGCATATCAAAGGTTCATTCCCCAATTATAGCTTCAGGTAATGAAGTTACATTCCCCGTTTTCTCCCCCCACAATTCACTTTTGTTTGTACTTTTTGGGGCCTGGGGCTCTAGGCTGTCCTTCAGTTCCAAGCCCAGAGGAATTGTTTTGTCTGACCAAAGTGTGAAGACAGTAGTTAACACTTTATATGAAGTGTAGAGTTATGCACTATTGTAGCACAGGATTTGAAAAATATAAAGGCTAAAATCTTAAGGCTGCATTCCCCTCCTTTAGAGGCTTGACAAGGAGAATCTCAGAGCTCAGGTGTCAGCAGCATCAATTCCTGCTGCTTTTCTTGACTGGAAGGATGTAGGGGGACGCAGTATGGATAAATGAAGGTAATGTAGAATGTAATCTTATCCCCCAACGAGTTGCAGCTGGAACCAATTACTAAAGATTAGGAACAGGCCTGATCTTTACAGGCCACACCTGTAGCCAATAAGAACAAGTGGCATAAGAGAATGGATTGGTGAGGTCTGGAGTTAGAGGAATCTGATGGCTGCTACAAGGACCAAGAACAGTCAGTGCTCAGAGGAGCTGCCTACAGAAAACTTTGAGGTGGTACAAAACTCTGAGACTATGGAATCCTTGCACCATAATGATAATAGAACTCAATATATATAAGACAATGTTGCACCATTAATGATAAGAGAACTATTGTAATATAAGACAACAGGAGGATGTTGTGATCATTTTGGGAGTGGAGTCTCCAGCAATCTCTGGTTTGCTTTGCTAGGACCTCTGTGAAGATCCCCACCTGCTTGTGGATGGAATGAGCTCCCACGACTTCCACCAGGGCAAGCTGGGGAACTGCTGGTTTGTGGCTGCATGCTCCTGCCTGGCTTTGAGGAAAAGCCTCTGGCAGCAGGTGGGTGATTGGAGTGTGTGGTGCAGGAAATAAAACTGATAAACCAAGCTAACTTTGGTTGTTTTTCTCCCTAGGACTAACAAGGGGTGAATTTTGGTGGATTCAAATCTTCCCTTTCTTTAACGTGTTCCAGGGCAGTCTGCCCTGGGAATAAACTTCAGCACAGTGCACTTGCTGAACTTCCCCTTTGTGAAAAGTGGGTATTTTATGATTGGCTTTTCACGAATATTAAAATGAATATGGTATGTGTTATGTTAGAAAGTTATGATGTATTCATTTTCTTAAGTAGTGTGTTAAATATAGTTTGAGGTTATAACATAATGTTAAAATAGAAACTATGTATGTGGGATATCATTTTAAAGAAAGGAATGAGGTATTCACATGGAGACAGCCGCCACAGGACACCTAAATCTTTCAGAGAAAGAGAATTTATTGCTCCTTTATCAGGAGAAATTAACTTCTCCTCACCTTACTCAGCCCTGAAGATCTGTCAAGATTCATAGGAAGACGTTGACACTGACCAGACAGAATCCTGTGTTTGGATGGAATTTATGCATCATGTATGAGGTGTATGAATATGCAACAGGCTGTTGCTTTTAAGGGTTAATCCTCTGTTAACGTGGGGCCTTTTTCAGGCTTATTTTGGCCAGAAAAGGTACCCAGACCATCCATAACTCTTTGTTTTTATTGTCTCATATTGTCCTATTCCAAATTGTCCAAATTTTTATTACTCTAATTATATTATATTTTTACAACCATTTTATTACTATTAAACTTTTAAGATCCTAAAACCAAGTGATTTGGCATTTTTCCCACCCTTCCATGGTTTCTCAGGTGATTCCAGACTACAGTGAGCAGGAGTGGGACCCCAAAAGCCCAAGGAAATACGCTGGGATTTTCCGTTTCCGCTTCTGGCGCTTTGGAGAGTGGACGGAGGTCGTGGTGGATGATCTGCTGCCCACTGAGAATGGCAGGCTCATCTACTGCCATTCCACCGTGAGGAATGAATTCTGGAGTGCTCTGCTGGAGAAAGCTTATGCTAAGTATGAGCTGGTTTGTTGTCCTTGTGGTCCTCAGTGTTGTCCCTTTGTCCGTTTTGTCCTTCAATTCTGTCAGACTTTCCATAGGTTTTAGTTTTGCTGCTGGCAGAGAACCTAAAAAAGACTGCAAGCTCCTTTAATCTCTGTTAAAATAATAAATTACTGCAATACTCTCTTCTTCAGCAGCCCAAATCCTTAAGGATCCTAGAAACCAGAGAAGATTTATATGCAGTTTGTTCAGGCTTTTTTGCTCTGTTCTTATATGTGATTCTGTTCATTTATGTGATTTCTTACCTTTGGGGCTGAGCACTGTTGTATCAGTGCAACATTTGCCTTAGGACAAGGATCTTGTCTGTTTAGACCAGTTAAATATTAAAATGGGTAAAAATATCTGAGGAAATGCTATGTGCATTTCATACTCGTGGTAAGTCCTTATTTATATTTAAATATTCACATATTTATACTAATATATTAATGTGCGATGATAAAAACATTTATATTTAAATATTTGCATTAATAACACCAAGATACCACACCTCTGGCTCTCTCCACCTCTATTTTGTTCTGTTCTTTTTTGTTCTGTTTTTCCCTGGTGAAACACAAACATGTTCTCTACATTCAAGCCAAATTAGAGCACTTGTTCCAGCCCCCTGTAAATTGAGAATGTTCTGTGTTGCCCCCAGGCTGGCTGGATCCTACCAAGCCCTGGATGGAGGCTGTGCTGCAGAAGCTCTGGTGGATTTCACTGGAGCAGTGGCAGAATCCATCAATTTGGAGGAGGGCAAATATGGTGAGGTTATTCCTGAGCAGATGAAGCTGTTTGAAGACTTGATGAAAGTGCATAAAAGAGGAGGGTTCATCAGCTGCTCCATTTCGGTGAGTACAGAGAGATGGATTTTAAGGGTTTATTTCAATGAAAATATTCTGGAATAAATACCATTATTAGGATATTGAGTATGTCCTTCCTTTGCATGTTTGGAAAAGCTTTGTATGGAGAAATCTAGCAAGTGTTTCCAGCTCCAGGAGCTACTAAATACAATCACAACTGCTTGTGCCGCCACTTCACTGTGCGTCTGAAATTCTTTTTTCTGAATGGTCACTGTTGTGGATTGACCTGAGATAAATCCACCCACATTTACACAGCAGATAGCAGCATTCAACTGCTTTATTTCTTAGAGAAAACACTTCTGTCATAGAGCTGCTGAGACCTCTTGACTTTGGTTGTGCCAGTGCAGCCCAGGGTAACAGTGGAGCTGAGCTGAAGGGCTGGGCTCACCTGGTTATTCAGGTATTTGATATTAATTGATATTTCAGCTATTTGATATTGAATATATGCAATATAGTCAATATCTTGAATAATCTCCCCACTGGCATTAACCTGCAGAGCTTGCCTGTGCTGGCTCAGGTATCTCAGTGCCCACATTAGAAGCCCTGAAGTTCCCTTAGTCAGTAGAGAGGGGATGGTTTGTGAGGAAGATTTACCCCTCTCCAGTCCTGTGCTAGAAGATGGATGAATAACAGCTCCCAAAGGATGCTCTGTGCTTCACAAAGCACCTATGGCCCAGCCCCTGGCCACAGGAAGCAAACATTGACTGAATTCCCCTTCTAAGTCTGCAATGTCAGGCCCTGGCTGGATGGTGTGAAATCCTCATCTGGTCCACAGTTATTATCACATCTGAAGGGCTAACAAACTGCAATGGCACCTGAATATTTCCTTAAAAATTGCTTTAAAATGATTTTTTTAATCATTTATAATGAACCATTAATCCAGCAGCCAACAGAAAAGGGATCATTTTGTAGGAGCTGAGGGTTGGCATCTAAGTGCACTTTAGCATCTTCCTCCCACAATTCCTGCTTCAGTTTAAGGCATTAGCTGATGCTGATCTTAGTTAAATCACTTAAACATTTTGCTTTAATTTCCCTCTCTGTGAATGAAGATGATTCATTCAGAAATTCTTAGGAGTATGAAGAGAGTTGTGGAATTGTCAAGAACAGCAGAAAATCAGCTGGTTTTGGGGGTTCCTGAGAATGTTACCTGTTGATCTAGCCCTGGTCCTGCATCAGGGCCTGGCACCAAAGAGGAACACCTGGTGTGGTCTCAGCTCTCTTCACAGAAGGCAGGAGGCACAAGCTTTACCAAATCCACGCAGCATTTTTCCACATTCACAAATCCACACAGGATTTTTCCTGGGAAGGCAGTGAGAAGCATGGAGAGGAGAAGAGAAAACAGTTCTTATCTCTATTCTGTGCTCCTGTTGTGGAATATGTTAGGAAGATTGTTTACCTGAAGGGATTTGTCAGTTGGATTCTGCTGAGGATTATTTTCATTCCTTGGCCAATTGGCCAAAAGCTGTGTCCTGGCTGTCTCAGACAGTCATGGGGTTTTCTTTAGTATCTCTTTAATAGAGTATAGTATCTTTTTAGTATAGTTGTAATATAGTATTAAGTAATATAGGTTAGTTTTAATAAAGCAATTGTTCAGCCTTCTGAATCAATGCCAATCATTCCCCACATCAGGGGCATCCTGAATTTGATATACCTGGCACCTTTTGTCACACAAACTTTACCCTGAGATAGAACAGGGACTGTCCCTTCCAGCAACATCAGGAAACAGCTCAGAAACAAAAGCTTCAAGGTCTTTGGGTTTTGTTTTACCTTTTTTTCATAATGCCTGAATTTTTATTTGCAAGAATTCCATCTGATTTGCTCAGAGCAGACTGCATTGTGTGAATTGTTGCTGCAGACATTGTTTCCAGAATGATGGGCTGCTCCCAAATGCTAGAGCAGTTCTGTTTGTTAACAAGAATTTACTGAGGTGATTGACCAGGACACAAGGAGCTGTATTTTAAAAAGCAATTAATTGGGCAGTTGTAGTGCTTTCACTGATTCCTGGCATTATGTTTCTGCCTTCCAAATTAAACACAAATGCTTCTAAACATTGTTTACAGAGAGGCCATTCCTAAATTTGCCTACATTTGTCACTTTTTGATGTAATATACACCCAGTGGAGCTTGCTAGGTGCAGAATATTTAATACTCAAGTGGCTTCATTGCTGCCTTACAAACATGTCATCATTTGCCTTGGATTACAGAATGGCCCAGAGCAGCACCATTTGGAAATCTGAACAGACAGGAGATGCTTCAATATCTCATTTGAATAAAGAAATAAATAAGTATCTGCAGAATGAGGTGGGAAAGGCCAGCAGTGAGAAAAGCCTGGCGGGTGATAAAGGCAGCAGGAGAAGTTACAGACTCCCGTGCTGTCAAGGACTCTTTGTTTGCTTTTGGTTGTGAAAAATGCCAGTGAAAGTGTTACACAGGAGTGAGCCCAGAGCCAGGGGATGTCAGCCAGGCTGGGGGAACACTTGAGCTGATTCTCTGGGAGCTGCTGTCAGGGAGAGGCACAGAGGCCTTGGTGACACTCTCACAGTTGCCAGCCCATCTGTCAGCTCCAATTTGATAGGAATTTCTCCTTCCCCCCCTTTTATTTTATGTGATTTCTTACCTTTGGGGCTGAGCACTGTTGTATCAGTGCAACATTTGCCTTAGGACAAGGACCTTGTCTGTTTAGACCAGTTAAATATTGAAATGGGTAAAATCATCTGAGGAAATACTATGTGCATTTCACACCTGTGGTAAGTCCTTATTTATATTTAAATATTCATATATTTATACTAATATATGAATGTCTAATTATAAAAACATATTTATATTTAAATATTTGCATTAGTAACACCAAGAGACCACACCTCTTGCTCTCTCTACCCCAGCCAAGGCTTGATTGAGCATTAATTAGGTAATTACAAGTTTACACACAAGGATCTGAACTGTGTCAAATCTTTGTCCAAGGGAATGAATGTTTCCAGGCCCTGTGGGTGATAGATGAGAGAGACTCAAGGGTGGCTTGGCTGGATTCAGTGAGGGTGAGGAGAATCTGGATCCAGCACCATCAAAACAACTCCAACATCTTTGTATGGTGCTGCTTTTCTGGGTTTAGATCAGGAGATTTGGATGCATTAAATGAAACTGTCCTCTTTTTCAGAGCTTGACTACTTTTTTGTATTCTTAGATCAGCATCTGATCAAGCCTCAGTCATCAAACAGGACAGCTTAGGGTTAGTTTAGGGACAGCCTGATCACTGCTGGAAACTGGGATTCTTATGTGGAGTTTATGATGAGCAAACCCAATTCCTAAAGCACCCTACGGATCTTCCCTTTGCCAGGAGTGAATGAGGTACAGGACACAAATGCCTTGGAAGCTTTTTTGCTTGTGCCTGTGCTCTCCCACTTTACCTGCTGCCAGTAGTTCTTCCTGGGTATTAATTTATTCCAACAGAAGAACAAGCTTTGGACCAGCAGCTAAATTCATGAGTGCCCAGGTGAGGACACCCCAGACAGTCTGGGCACAGCCATCAGTGTGCAGAAGAGCCATTTGGTAGAGATGCCAAGATTTTGGGAGGGCTGATTTTCCATCAGCCTTGTCCTCTAACTTGGAGGAAACAGGCTGGCTGCAGCAGGCAGGATTCCCCTGTGCCCTGGGATTGTCTGGCACTGGAATTGTCTGGTACTAACAACACCACACTAGTGAGCCCCTAGTTCTGATTCCTAATGGCATTATTATGATTATGCACAGTAAAATCACTCAGGAAGAGAATGAAAAACAAATTTTTCTGGTCCTTCCCCTTGAACGTGAAGCTGTCAGGTTGTCAGCACAACAGGTCCCCAGCCAGGTAATAATTGACATAGAGTCCATGTATTTCAGAAGGCTGATAATTTCTTTAGTAAGAAACCCATACTTTTTATACTCTAGTTTGCTACAGGGTTGACCTAATTGGTCCTTTAGTTAAAACACCATCACCATTGGCTAATAAAGAAACCACAGCCTGCAGGTGCCGTGTGCTTGAAGGGTCTGTAAGCAAATCTCCATAAACCATTCCACATGTGCACAACACCAGGTGCAGCAAGTGAAGATAAGAATTGTTTCTCATTCTTTTCTCTGATCTTCTCCCAGCCCTTCCCAGAATCATGCCTGGCAAAGTTGTCTGTTTCTCTCTGTGGCCAGAGAGCTGCTGGCACATCAGGTTCCTCAGAGATATGAGTTCCTTTTGTTTAATTGTCATTTTCCATGCCCCAGGAGTCCCCAGGGCGGCCCAGCGAGGCAGAGACAGAGAAGGGGCTGATCGTGGGCCATGCCTACTCCGTGACTGCCATCAGGAAGCTGCGCCTCGGGGAGACCATGGTGCTCTCCTTCAAGGCACAAAAGCTGTTCATGATCAGGCTGAGGAACCCCTGGGGCAAGAAAGAGTGGCACGGTGCTTGGAGTGACAGGTAAGAGCTGCAAACCCAGTGTCCAAGGGTGAAGCTGTGCTGGGGCGCTGCAATTTGTGGGACACACTCCTACTCAGAGATGGTTGGACCTCTTTGCCACCTCTGCCCATTTTCCTCTGAGAAAATGAGCGTGTCCTGGAGGAGTCTGGACCTTATTTATTGTCCTGGCTCCCTCGACCTTATTTGCTGTTTACATCATTCTTCTGGCCCACTGGAACATGGGAAGAAAAACAGCTCAAGAGTCAAGAACACAAGGATCATTCCCAGCTTCACTACTGAGCTTGTCTGTGACTCAGTTTCTCACCTGTCATTTCCAGCTGCTGGGGATGGTAAAAATCTTGTAGATAGTTTAAGTGACTGGTGAAAAATGCTGTAAAAGTGCCATATTTGTGGGTTTTTTTTCTAATTAATTTTCTTGTGGACTATGGGCTTAGCAGGTACATCCACAGCAAGAGAAATTGTTGCTGGAAGGGATGTCTCCCATCATGGGTGATTTATACATGAAAAATATGTGACAGTTCAGCACTGGGCTCACCAGCTAGCATTTAGGATTTAACATTGCAGTGCTCTGAAAAGCAGCATATTAATTTCTTATAATCCCTGCTTTAGCTAGCAAAAATCTACTACTTTCAGAGAGATTGGTCTGGGTGCAATGCAGAGAATGCACAACAGAGCTGCTGTGTCTTGTTCAGCTGAAGCCCTTGGGGTTCTCCAGTAGCCTGGCACAGCTGCCACTCATGCCAGCACTGAGCACTCTGGTGGTGGCCCATGGCTTTTGGTCTAGAAGAATTAAACTGACAATTTCCAAATAGGTTGAGAAAATGGCAGTCAGGGTGAGCAGCCTCCCTTCCCTCCTTCCAGCCTCCTGCAGCTTTAGCCTCCAGGTGCTTTTGGAGGGGCAGGGGGGAGTTGTGGCTCTGTTTGTCTGGTGTAACCCACCAGGACCAGGGTCTGGTTTGGGTTTCAGCAGGAGGCTGCTGGAATTTTAGGGTCTGTGCTCCCCAGCAGCAGCACCAGCAGGTGCCTGCAGGGGCTGTGCACTGGAACACCCCTCTGCACACTGGACACTGTGCTCAGGCTCCAGCAGTTTCTGCTCAAAGGTCCCCAGGGAAATCTCAGACCTCAGGCCTGTTTTATTAAAGTGATTAAAAGACAAAGAGAATACTCTGGTCTAAGTGAAGCGTTCAATAAGCTCCCGAGGAGGAAAACCAGGTTTCATTTGAGGGGCCTTCAGGGAATGGAGTCAATCTCCTGTGACCTTGGAAACCAGCTGTTTAAGTGTTTAAGAGTCCTAATGGAGGGTGTGACAAAGGAAATCAATAAAGTTCTGCTCTAGTTGAGCCTATTTCCTATTAATCTCTTTCTTTTTTAGTAGCTTTCAAATCAATTAATGTTTCAAAACCCCGCCTGAAAGCCTCACACTTCCATCAATATCATCTGCCCTTTCAGTACCCTGATATTCTTTTTAAAACCACAGAGCAGGAGAGATTTTTGCTTCAATTTTATTTTCCAGGTGAGGGTTTTTATTTTTAATCATCATTCATCTTTATTGTTTTTATTTTTTTCCCTTTTTTTAAAATTATTTCCTTTTAGTTCTGAAGAGTGGAAGAAAGTCAGTGATTCTGAGCGCAAGAATTTGGGGCTTACTGTTGAGAATGATGGAGAGTTCTGGTGAGTGGGAGTGATGAGAAGGGTTTGGAGGCACTGGCTACACTGAGGAACTGTCATTAATCTGCCATTTAACAGCTTCAAAAACAGATGGGTAAAGTTATCCCAAGGTCTGTTTCTTTCAAACTCCCAAGAGATGACAGGGAAGAATAATAAAAATGGATTTAAAACTAGTAGAACAGAATTAGTAGCTCTCACAATCTATTGCCTATATTTAGAATAATCTCTCAGAAACCAGGAGGGCATGTGCTGGTTTACAGGACACAATGCCCAATGTTGAACACTGTTTAGACCAGTTAAATTTTGAAATAGGCAAAAATATCTGAGGAAGTACCATGAGCATTTCACACCCTGTTTATTGAGTACTATGCCTGTCTGTGGATCAGCAATGGCTGAGGCATCTAAAAATAGAGTTGCATCCAGTGAATTTTGATATTTGTTGGTGTTTTCCAAGTGTTCATTCTCTATCCAATGTCTAGAGCTCTATTAATTTTGACCTTGCTTAAAGCTTAGATCCTTAGCCCAGCAGGTCCTTCAGGAGATGATCAATATTGCATCAAGTGAGCTGGCAGGGCTCACAGTGGAAATCATTCTGTTGGCTTTGTCAGGACTGGCAGCTGCAGGGCCTGGCTCTGGGCTATGAATAAGCCAGGCCATGATGGTAATTCAAAGAGCCAAGCTGGTTTTCAGCTACTCTGCAGTCCAGCCCCTTCCTTTAGCAGGCACAGGCAAGATGGGGTTAAAGGAAAGCTCTGTCCAGAGGGCAGAGGTTGGAGCTGTGCTCAGGGACAGATGTAAGGACTGTAATAGTGAGGATTGGATCCTGCTTTAATTGCAGGTGATCTCTTTGGCCTTTGCAAAATGTGTTATCAAATCAAGGGAGGTTCAAGCAGTCCTTCAGGCTTAGGAGATGCAACAGGACAGATCCTGATCTGACCAAACACACTGAGTGGTGCTGCTCTGAATTAAAACTCTGTGATTGTGGTTTCACAAGTATTTCCACATGGAAAGCTTTCCAGTGAATCAGTTTGTCCCCTGGACAGCTGAGCAACGCCTCCTCTTCAAATTACTGGAAGATTTTGTGTTTTGTTTTGGCTCTGTGCGTGAATATCACTGTTTACTTTTAAACAAACCATTTCTTCCCTGGTGTTGCCTGGAGCAGGATGACGTTTGAGGACTGGTGTAAGAATTTCACAGATGTGGACATCTGCAGGACTGTGAACACCTCCTGCTTCAGCTTCCACAAGACCTGGGAGAAGGAAATGATGTATGGGGCTTGGGCAAAGCATCCAGAGCCCCTGCTGAACCGATCTGGGGGCTGCTTTGATAACAGAGAGACCTTCCTGCAGAACCCCCAGGTGGGAACCCCTGTGTTTTGTGCGTATTTGATAACAGAGACACCTTCCTGCAGAACCCCCAGGTGTGAAGTTTTGTGAGGTATTCAAGTGTACCCACTTTAGCTGGGGCTCCTGAAGTACCCACCCTGTTTAGGAGTTGGCAGTGACTACCAAACAAAAAATCTCATTGCCCTGGGGGTGTGCTGTGTACTGCATGTTTCATGATTTTGGTGCAGTTTCTCAGAAGAGTTTATATATTTATTTAGGACTGATCATGCTTGGGGCTGGTGAGTCACACACACAACAGAATTACTGATGTCCTGCCTGGACTTCTTTCATTTTCCCAGTCATAGAAAGGCAGCAAGTCTGATTTTATAATGAGAGAACCCACTTAACCCCCTTAAACAGCTCAGGGATTTGATCCACTGTATTTAGTTAGTATCCCTTGGCATTACTGTGAGAGTCTGGAAGTACCTGATCTCTTCCCCAAGCTCACCCTCTCATCAGCATTATGGAATTTTCCTTGTCTCATCCTACCTGGTCATTTCAAGCTATTCAGTTGACCTACTCATCCATGCCTACTCCCTTTCCCACCTTCCTGCCTTTTTCTCTCCCAGCACATGCAAATTCAGACCTATAACTTCTGTTATGGTCTGAAGGGTCTGGGCACTAACTCTGGTAGTTACTCCTTTGAAAATGGATCTTTCTGTCCAGATTAATCAAAGATATATTTGAATCTGCTTCTGTGCACTTGCAGGGGAGGTTTCTGCCTGCAGCCTGTGTTTTCAGAGCAGGATGCTGCAGCAGTGCAGCCTCTGCTGCTCACATCAGGTCTCAGCTTCCCAGCTCATACTCACTGCTCTGCCTTCTGTCAGTGCCCCATTTCCAGGGGGTGATGGAATTCAGGTATAACTCTGTGAAATTCTGGATGTGTTCCAAGAGCTTGTCTGGTCTCCTTTGTAAGTGTTTAGCTGTCACAGAGAACAAAATGCACAGTTCCAGCTGAGTGCAATGCCTGATGCAGTGGAAGGCCTCTGTATTCCAGTGTTATCTCTGGGCCAGCTGATTAAAAGGCTCTTAGCAGCAGTGCAGGAACACATTTCTGTTATCTTAGGCTACTGTGGCACACCCCACCATAATCTAGAGATAATCTCTCTTCTCCTGGCACTGAGGCCTCCTGTGAGGTTTATCTGGGCAGAGAGGGACTGTGCCACTTCCATTCCCTTTGATAAGGCAATTTCAGCCAAGTATTTGTGTATTCTACAGTCATGTGCTGAATTCTAGATCATTATCCACTGGGACAGCTGAGGTGCCATCAGAAGAAGGTCACAGCTGTAGAGCAGTCACCAGACCAGGAGAACTTTCCTGATTCCACTTGTTGCCCTTCCACCCCTCCATGGCCTTGGAGCAGCCTGGGGGGTAACCTGTGTATGGCTCAACAGGGACAAGGATTAAAATGTGCCTTACTGGGTGTTGCTGCATTTTATATCTCACTTTCTAGGTTCTCTTAGAACCCCTGGGACTCTCCCAGGCCCTGAGCTTTCTCTGCTGCAGTAAGTGATATAAAACACAAATCAGAGCTTGGATGGGGCCTTGCTCAGCAGAGCTCCAAGGCAGAGGGATGTGGATGGTTCTGTAATCAAGGCAATCTCAATATCTACCTCAAAACAAAGCTCAATAATTTGTGTTTTAGCAGCAAAGGAAGAGGGAGGGGGGAATTGAACCAATGATGATATCCCTCTCTATGCTGCCAAAGAATTTCTGCTTAAATCAGAACATGTGGTGCACATGGTACCCAGCTGTGCACTGCTGCAGGTTTATGTTTCTATTTATTTTCTTCACATTTAAATGTCTTTGAGGATGGGAGAGCACAGCATCTGTCCAAACTTGGGATAAATTATCTCCTCTCCTGTCCTCTGGTCCTGACAACTCAGGTTTGCTCTCTGCATGCACAAAGCAAAATTTAAAGGACTCTCTAACAATGAACAAATTAATTAAATTCCTTATCATATAAAGAGACATCTGTCTGACCTTCTTTTGTTCATACTTACGAACTGGTCTGGTAGTGTTTTTTAGTAAGGTAACTGTTCAAGTGGGATTTAGTAAGATGGGCCTGGGCTCCCTCTGGCCATGCAGGGCAGCAGAAAGCTGCTCCTCTGGCAATGAAGGGGGCAAAGGCTGCTGTGCTGTGCCAGGCTCAGATTGGATCCAGGTAGGAATGCTTGGCTCCTCCCCTGGGCGGAGCATCTCCCCATGGGATGCTGGGATTGGATCAGCCCTGCAGGGACACTCAGTGGCCATGGACAGCAGGGATCTCCTGGAGGGAGGGTTGGTGTGGGAGAGATAAAGGAAAAACTGCCCCATGGACAGCAGAGAACTGCCCCAGCTCTGACAGATGGTGACAGAACACACACCCCCATTTCCAACCTAAGACAAGATATTTCCTTGGTGATGGCTTTACCCTCAGCCTCCTGAGGGTAAAATTCCAACAGCTCTTCTCTCTCCTGTCTCCTCCCAGTACCTCTTTGATGTTAAGAAGGCCCAGGACAAAGTGCTGGTGTCCTTACAGCAGGAGGATCGCCGCAAGTACAAGAAAGAAGGCAAAGGAGACAACATCACCATTGGCTTTGAAATCCTCAAGGTAGGCAGCCAGCTGTGCTCCTGGTGCAGAGCTTGTTCCATTTGCTCAGTCCTGCTTCTCCCTGACAGTGAGGTCTTTGGCAGCTAGATATCTATATCTAGATAGGTAAATCTATATAATCAGTGATCTGTTTATCCATTCCTACTCCCTTTCCCACCTTCCTGACCTTCTCTCTCCCAGCACATGAAAATTCAGACCTATAACTTCTGTTACTGTCTGTGGGTGCTGGGCACTCACTCTGGTGGTTACTACTTTGAAAACGCACCTTTCAGATAATATACCAGGATTATCCTGGGGTCTGGCTCTATGCTTAAATTTTGTGTGGGCACTGCACTCAGGCCATGGGAACTCAACTGATTTTAGTTCAGCTCAAACTCTATTTGAATAAATTTCATTTATTTGAGATAAATAAATTTTGCACCTTGCAAAAGAATTTTAAGTGGTTTTCCTACCCCAAAACTTTCTAGAGAAAGGCAAAATGATATTAGTACTTAAAACATGGAGGATTTTTCTCCTTCTTCTGCCTCCATTTCACCAGCAAATACAGCCAGGAGAATGAGGTTGAAAAGTCTGCAGTTTTTCTGTTGCCACTTAGAAAAAAAGTCTTTTCAAAAGCTGGACTGGTGAGCAGGAAATGAATATATGGGAAAAGGAACGACATGGATCCCAAAAGGTAATTTAATTGCACTCTTAAGACAAATTGAGTAAAATGAAAACACTCAAGCTCAGAGGAGGGAAGGAAAGAAACAGCAATTTTTCTACTCTTTCACTGAGGATTGGGGTAATCCTGTCATCTGTTGCTACAACTCCTGGGACTACATTAAATCTATGGCCCTACCCTAAAAGAAAAGTCAATTTTTAACAGTTGGTTAGATCTGCTGACATCTGCATCGCACCTGCTCATTTGCCAATCACCTGTTAACCACATATATTGAAAAGTGTTGTTGCAGAAAGCAGAATAATTTCCCTTGTTCATGCCTGTAATTTGGAAAGGCTTGAAAAAGAAAATCACACCTTCCTAAAAGCTTCAGTACTCTATTTTTATTTCTAATCAATAATTTTCTATTTTAGATATATTCTTACACACCAGGCTCATTAGCATTACTAAAGGCCTTGGGAAGAAAGCTGACAGTAAAGAATGAAGGGCTGCCTTTGCTCCAGAGCTGCTTGAGAGAGAGGTTTAGATTTAAACTGAACTCTGGCAATACCAGTACTCTGGGGAAGATGTTAAGAGTTAAGCACAACTTCAAGGCTTAGAAGAAAACATTCATGGTTATTCTGTGGCTTTTATATTCAGGAAAGGCCAAGGAGAATCCAGCTGAGTGCATCTGGATTGGGAGCCTGCTGTGAAAGGCTAGAGAAGGGAGGCAGAGGGATCTTGTCATAGTTCAGAAGGCTTCAAACTGGTTTTTTTTAATAGCCTGCATGCTTTTTATACATTCTAACAAAACTCATCAGTTTACACTTTACTCATTGGTTGTGACCGTGTTCACAGGGGTCTGAGGATGAGGGAAGCGACGAGGGGAATGATAACAAAGGCTCTGTCTCAAACAGAGAGTCTGAGCCAGCTGACTGTGATTGGCCATTAATTAGAAACAGCCACATGAGACCAATCACAGATGCACCTGTTGCATTCCACAGCAGCAGATAATCATTGTTTGCATTTTGTTCCTGAGGCCTCTCAGCTTCTCAGGAGGAAAAAATCCTAAGGAAAGGGTTTTCATGAAAAGATATCTGGGACAATTCGTCAGGAAAGACAAAGAAAATGCTCATTGGACTAGGCAGTTGCAGGTTTCTCTTATTTATCCTTCTTTCTTTCTTGGTTTCTTTGTCAATGACCTTGGTAGAAAATTCTTTCAGGGGTAAACATGGATTCTCTTATCAAACATGGATCCTCTTATAAAACTTCTCTCTGGCTCACAGAAGTCACTGTAAAACCTCTTCCATGGGATTTTAGCCTTGTCTGAGCAGGTGCAGTCCTTGGGCTGTGTGTCCATCTCTGGAAGTGTTCCAAGCTCTGCAGCAGCATCGCATCATCTCTTTCAGTGGGCTCCTGTCTTTGCCAGCCCCAAACTTTCACGTGCCACAGCTTAACTGGATGAGAAAACACTTGCCAAAGTGTTTCGCCTTGTTGGGTGAAAAGCTGTGTGGTGCTCAGGGAGAGCCCTGCCCTTAGCCCTGCTGTCCCTAACCCCTCTCCTGCTGCAGGTAGAGGACAACAGGAGGTACAGGCTGCACAAGCTGACGGTGCAGGAGAGAGTGGCCACGTCTCCCTACTCCAACACTCGCAGCGTGTTCCTGAGGAGGACCCTGCAACAAGGCCGCTACATCCTGGTCCCCACCACCTACGTCCCAGGTGTCCCCACAAAATTCATCCTCAGGCTCTACACAGATGTGCCCTCAAAACTCAGGTGGGTGCCACTCACAGCTGCAGGAGATCCTCCTTAGCCCACAGGCTGCAGCTCCATGGAAGGGGTTGCCAGGTTGTCCTCCAACTCACTGGCTCCAGAACTGGGCCCTGGAGACATCAGGAGCAGCTCTGAGGATATCCAGGTTTGTACATTGTTAAAAATAGGTTGGAAACTGTTGTAAAATAGTTGATAGATCGTTAGGGATATACTGTTAGTTTGGTTATTATATTGTAAAGGGGGTTAAAAGGGGAGTTGTAAGAAATATGGTACTCAAGGTACCATAACACAGCTCAGTAAAGTGCACCACGAGTCAGCCTAGACAGAGCTGTAGTGGCCAATCGAGTGCCTTAAACCTTCATGAAAATGAAGGATCCAGAAAGAAACCAACCCAAAGGGACAAGAAACAGGTTCAAAAGGGGCTTCTGATCCACTGAATGTGTGCTGTTCCATCTGGGACATCGCTGCTGAGCAGCCCCAGCACCGGGAACACTCCTGCCCAGGGCCCCCTTGCTTTAGGCCTTTCTTTTCTTATAATAAATGCTGAAATCACTTTAGAACCAGGAGCCTGCTCTCGTTTTTATCGTACATGGTCAGGAAATGTTTAGTTAGGGACATCTTGGATGATTTCCTTTGAGTCTTTTGGCTTTTTTAGTTCAGTTCTTGTAGTGGCCCCCAGTTCTAGGTCAGGACACCGAGCACTGGTGCTTGTGGCTACAGTGATACTTGTTGTTTCTGTGCCCATCTCCTCTGAAAGCTGTGGCTGCTGCAAGAGTAGAACCAGTGCTTCATTAATCAGGCTCACTGTATTTATTTCTTGATTTGATAATATTTTCCACTATTTAAAATTGGGGGGGGGTTTCACCATTTTTGCTTCCACGCAAAAGATAGCACAAATTTGTTTTACTTTGCTTTGCTCTATTTTTATTTCTTACATCTGTCATTTCTGCACCACAGAATTCAAAAACGGCAGATGAAGAAAAACTACAAATCTCATGTTCTAAAAATGCCAGATTTCCTCAACCATTGATTGTTTGCTTGACATTCTTTGCTTAGGTTGCTTTTTCCATGATTTTTTCAGGGAGCTGAAGGAAGATAGGCCTAAAATGACGTGTTGGAGTCTTCTTTGTGGCTACCCACGCAGAGTCACCCAAATCAAAGTCCACTCTGCAGAGGGTTTGCAGAAACAAGACAGATCAGGAGGTAAGTGGAAAGAGAGTGTGGATGAGTGGGATTGGCTTTTCAGCCTTCTAAAGATGATTTGGGTTGACAGGTAAGCAATCAGAAATTACCCAAACTGAGGATTCATGGGATTTGTTTTTTCCATCTTGCTGTAAAACCTGCTCCAGTGGAGAGATCAGATGAATATTGGGATGCACAATAGCAAGTCATGGGCAGGTCCATAGCTGGTCAGGATGGGCAGGAGAAGCTAGACCCTCCTGAGGAGCTAATTGTGGGGATTAGTAATGTTCTTCTGTCAGGACTGTGTGTTTTCTAAATGGAAAATATCCAGGAGACAGCTGAATGGCACAGACTCATGCAGTGTGTTACGTTTACCTCGTTAGAGCGCTTCAGGGAGGACTTTGTGGTTTTCAAACAATCATTTTCCGCTGGGTAAAGTAGAACAGGGGTTAAATGCTTTATACATAACTGTGTGTCTGTCAGGGAAGTGTCCTGAAGGACATCAAAATGGCTTTATAGCACCTGATGTTGAGTTAATTAGCAAACTTGCCCAGTTGTCATTAGCTTTTTCATTTTCTGCTCCTGCTCTGACAGTCTTCATTTTTCACAGCTTAATGCTGGTTGTTGTTAGAGCCCTGTTACTAGCTAGAGGAAATTTATTTTATTTTTATGTTAAATGTTTATTGGAAAGTTCCTCCTTGGTGCTGTCTTTGATCCATTGCTCTGTCTGGAGAGGATAATGGATGGTTTGCTGTTGTCAGGAATAGTGGATGACTCCAGACTCAGTCCTGGATGCTGCTTGTGGAAGTACCTCTCTCCAAGTCAGAGTGTTCTGAAGTGGATCCAGCTGTCTGTGAGCCAGGCACAGTGGCAGGTCTGCAGGATGATGAGGAAACTCTGTGCTAGAGGATTTTCTGTCACTCATTCCCCAGCCTGGTTTTAAAATGGCTCTCACTACTGTCTGTCAGGCTCTTTCCTTGAGTTTCTCTTTGAGAACAAACCACCTTTTGCACTTTTAAGTATTCCTGCTGACATTGCACATTGGATTTGGACATTGAATTGTTTTTCACCTCTTAGAATATGAACTGAGTGTTGAGATCTGTGGTGTGTGACAGCCCTGGAAGCAGAGAATCTTTAGTGGGAGCTGCCTTGGGAGCAGCCTGAGAAGCAGAAGGAAGGAGAAGCAGAGATTCACCTGCAAGGGGCCAAACAACCTGCTGCGACTGCCAGGGCAGTGCTCGTGTCTCAGCACTGTTCCTGCTCTTTGGGCCATGCCCTTTTCCAGTGGCTGATGCTGTCAGAGCTCCCCAGGTTCTGGGAAGAGCAGCAGAGGAGTGGGAATGCAGCTGGCAACGTTCCCTCAGGAGGGTTTTCCTGAAAGCCTTTTGCTTTGGTACAGTGCTGCAGGGTGTGGGTGTTAGATCCTTGGAGCAGTTTTCAAAAATCCAAAAATTAAGGCTTAGACTAGTGAGCACAGATTTCCTTAAGCCTTAGAAATGCCATTACTGTTCAGGTGTTTCTGGCTTTTACAGATTCCAACCTTTTCCATTGCAGTGTTCTTTTGTACAACTTCCCAAAGTAGCAGCATGGCCAGGGCTGAGGTAGGAGAGCTGTTATGGGGTTCAGGGCAGGGCTGGAGCCATTTGAGAGCCCCAGAGCTGAACCCAGCCCTCCTTCCTCTGCCAGAGCTGTTTCCTGACAGCAGCTCCAGTTTCACTCCCACCTCATGGCCAATACCAGGACATTGCTTTTCCACTCTAGCAGACCTTGGTGTTTTTTCTTTGTCCTGTAAATAAACCAGGCACAGAACTGGGCCATCCATGGCTGAGAACATCTGATCCTCCATGTGCTCTCCCACTGCTTGCTTTTGTTGTGGAATTGGAGCCAGTTTTCCTGAAACAACTGACCCATCCAGCACTGCCATCACGGGGTGAGAACATTTTGGAGCATCATGGCTACAAGAACATTTTGTGTCCCCCTTCTACCTCCCTCTGTGAGGTCTTGCTGAGAATGTGAATGTTTCCTTTAAATATTTTCTTTCCTTTTCCCTTCACTTAGCCAGTCCCCTCATTAACTGCTCCCTCATCCATCCAGCAGATGTGCCTGTCACCTCTTTAGCTCTGTGCCCTTTCCTCACCCCTCCTTATGCTCTCTATCTCCTAATTACTGTTAATGATTGGATGTTGCTCTGCTCTTTGCCCTCTGACAAAGCTGTTAACACCATTGGGGTGACAGGCAAGACCCCGTTTTATCCAGATCCATTTTCCAAATTGCTTTGCAAGGAAGGCAGCTTTTCCACCCCTGGCACACAGCCTGGTGCCACCCCATGCCCCAGAGCTGAATTCACAGTTCAGTGACAGAGAAGGCAATTGCCCATCAGAAAAGCCAATATCCTGCTACCTGCCATGGAGCTGTGAGGGGTTGTCAGGGAAACAGCTCTGGCCAGGTGTAACCACAGAGCAACATATGGAAAACTCTGTGTCTGCCTTGGATGCAGCTGTTGTGTGGTTTGTTCGTGTTGGTACCCGGTCGTGTTGGTAAATGAGTGATGAGTTTGAGGGAAATCATCTGGGTATGGTTTGTTAAAAAGCTGAAGTTGCCTAAAATTGTGCTGCCTTCTGGCTGCAATGGTATTTTCAAGTAGACGGTGAAATAAAGTGTGTTAGAAACTCTTATGAGCCTGACTTACAGATACCCTGGGTTTATTTAAAATCTGTATCTAAGATGTAGCAAGGTGTGGGGAAGAAAATCTGTCATTAACAACAGAAACAGAAAGAGTTGTGTTGAAATAAAAACATGATATTGCCTTTGTTTAATTAAAAACTCAGAAAATGGAATGGCCCATTCTATTTGAATGTGCTTGGTGTTTCCAAAATGGATCTTGCTCCTCATCGTAAAGGAAAGAGAATATCAAATTTAGTAAGAAATAAAAATACTCAGTGTAAAAACAAAGCATTTCTAGAATGTTGAACAATCGCAGGGGGTCATATATGAGGGTTAGATTGGATATTAGGGAGAAATTGTTCCCTGTGAGGGTGGGCAGGCCCTGGCACAGGGTGCCCAGAGCAGCTGTGGCTGCCCCTGGATCCCTGGCAGTGCCCAAGGCCAGGCTGGATGGGGCTTGGAGCAGCCTGGGATGGTGGGAGGTGTCCTTGTCCCTGGCAGGGGTGGCACTGGATGGGCTTTAAGGTCCCTCCCAACCCAAACCATTCCATGATTCTGTGTTTTCACCTGGACAGGGAGCAGTGGCTGTGGTGTGCTCTGGTGCCCTGTCCTGTGGTGCTGCCAGGCACAGGAGGGGATTGTCTCTGCTGGGTTTCTGGGCAGCTCTCAGCTGCCATTCTGTGTGCCCAGAGCTGTGCCGCTGATTGCGTTCCAGGGGCAGATCCCTACGTGCTCATCAAGTGTGAGAACCAGAGCCGGCGCTCCCCGGTGCAGCACGACACCACCAGCCCCGTGTTCAACACCCAGGTGATCTTCTACAGGAAGGACATCGACAGTCCTGTCACCATCCAGGTGAGACAGCCTCAGGGGCAGCACAGCAGCAGCCCTGGGCTTCCCTGGGCCAGCTGTTCTTTGTGTGACCCAGGAGAGAAGAGTGAGAGCCTCTGCTCTCCTTGCTGAGCTCTGCCTGGAGCTCTGCTGCTCCACAAACACCAGCTGATGGCACTTGGGGATCACAAGGAATGTTTCATTCCAATGAATGTTTCATTCCAATGAACGTTTCATTCCAAGGCACATATTTCTTTCCAAGGCATCTTTAATTCCAAGGCTTTGAAGGAATTTACAGAATTCCTTTTGCCCCTGATGAAACAGAGACAAAGAAAAGCCAAGTGCTGTCCCAAGTCAGTGTTGGAAACAAACCCAAAGCTAAGGCTGTTATTAAGAAGTTTTCTACCCTGAGTTCTAGTCCTGTGAGAACGGGACCTCACTGTTTACCTCAGCATTAGCTGGAGAAATAGAGCCTGGCATTGAGATGATGCAGTCCAGGAAAAGTTTGTCTTCAGCCTAGTCTGTGGGCCAGGCTCTAAAACTGTAGCACTGAGGAGGTGCAGAGGTGGGCACAGGCAGGCAGAGCAGCAGACAGGCTACACTTAGGTAGGTTTTACTGCTGATGAGTTTAAAAAGGTCATTTTTATTCCTCTCCTAGGCAGGCTCTGACCTAGAAAGCAAAACGCTGCATTTCTCTCCTTATTTGCATAGTCTATGTAGATGAGCATGCAAATCCAGACTCTCCCTCATGCTCTCTAGACAATTAGCTAAATTTAGACACACGCTTTTCCAAGGGGTTATCGGGGGTGACCCTTCCCGGCGGAGTGTGACAGCCGCGTTGTTTGTGTCCCCTCATCGCCAGGTGTGGAACAGCAACCTCCTGAGGGACCAGCTCCTGGGGCAGGCGGTGCTGGCAGCGTCCCCCGGCGAGCCCCGCCCGCAGCAGCGGCTGAAGCTGCGGGGCAGGGGCGGCGGGGGAGCGGCCGAGGTGCCGGGGCACATCAGCGTCACCGTGCTGTGCAGCGATGACCTCGGCGAGCTCTGAGCGCCGCGCGGCCACGCGGGGCTGCTGTCACCGCTGGGCAGCGCGGGGAGCGCATCAGCATAATCGCTTTAAAGGGGGGGAAGAAAAGCCCTCCGCTGGGAAAGGGGGAATGCATATTAATACATATCTATGATACAGCTCATGCAGTAGGAGAGTGTCGCAGTACGACACAAAACAAAACTACGTGGACCACCAAGGGAAGAAGAGGGGTGGTTTATTTCTGGACTCTAACATTTATAGACTTTCAAAAGTGACAGCGCCTTGGAGGATGAAAGTGCCACTTCTCCAATGACACTGGACAAACCAACAGTCCATCAAATTTCTCTTCCTCCAGAGAGGAATGTAAAAACAATAATTATTTACATAAAAGTGCGTGAGAAACTCCATTATATGAACGTAAACATCAGAAGGCGTAGAAGAACAGGGTGACCGGAGAAGGGCCAAATGGAATACTGAGGTAAGCTTGTGAGGATGGGAGCATCCTTGAGGATGCAGGCAGGAATGGCTGTAGCTCCTTCAGGCACCCACCAGCAGCTTGGGGACTGGCAAATACAAGGGGGATTCATGGGGATTTTTTTTCCATATCCTTCCCATAGAAGGGTATACATTTCTTGATGAATTTCACTAAAGATTAGGTGTTTCTGTTCCTTGGTGAAAATGTCACTACTTGAGCAGCTCAGTCATAGCTCGTGGCCTTAAGACCAGTCTTGCCAGGACAACACTAAAATAGAGGGGCAGATCTTGCAGTGCCTGTTTGAACACCACAGCAAATAAGAGCTTTGTCCACCCAAAGGCTCTCAGATTGACTTTCTGATTGTTCTCTTCTCCACCTTGAGCTGATGACTCACAGTTTGATATTTCTATCCAAGGGCACCTCACAGTTCAGCTGGGGCTTTGCTCAGAGCACAGATTCAGTAATGGGAGCTTCCTTGCTTTGTTTAAGCCACATAATGCTAAAAATGGAATAACAGCCCTCTTGTTTTGGTGGATGTAGCACCAGCCCAAAAGAGGAGAAAATGAGCTCATGAGACAGGTGGGTCTGTAAAAGCAGGGTGCTGTTCCCTGGCACTTGTCAGGTCTCACTCTCAAAATTTTGCAGTCATTTATTGCTGGCATGCTGATGTTTGCTGGAGTTTCACTCGGGTACCAGGGAGGATGGGCGTTATTTCACATTTCCATCACAGCAGGGCTCTGGTGCCAGCTCTCCCCTTCCCCTGCAGCCCTGGGCAGGGTTCCCTCAGCAGCTGTCTGGGGTGGGCACGCTGGGCAGTGACCCTGGCAGTGCACAGGGCTCTGTGCCACACACTCAGAAATGGATTTTACACAGCTGCACATTCCGGGTGGGAAAGTGAAGCTGAGGGACCATTCTGCCTTTTTACAGCCAGGAAATTTGGGTTTCTAAGCTGGAGGACCATTCTGCCTTTTCACAGCCAGGAAATTTGGATTTCTATGTGCCTCGTAGCCACTTCAGCCACACTGTGCGATTTTTACAGTTTATGAAATGGCCCTTGACAGAGCTAATGTTTTCACAAAAGGTCTCCTCAGGGCTCCAAAAAGATCATTGCTGTGGTAGCAAAATGCTTTCTCTGACATGCCAGAGATGGTCTGTGGGGCTGTGAATGATGCTGCAGTGCCATCAGCTTGCATGTACCAAGGACCAAACCCCAGCTATTTTCAGACAGTTTGGGCTCAGGCCCTTTGGCACAGCAGAGATCTTGTCAGAGGTGTGAACTACAGGCCCCACAGGCAGGTGACATTCCCTGTGAGCTCATGGCTTCAGGGCTGCTGACTCCAGAAATGTTTGTAAGCTGAGATTTCTCTCTTTAAAAGCATAAAAAAGCATAAAGCATAACTGTCTCGTGCAGACCAGAGCTTGGACGAGGGGAACTGCAAAGGTCAGGCCTGCCCTCGTCCTGCACTGAGAGCTGTTTGCTTTGCTTTTCCTCACACTCTGCTCCAGGCGGTGGGAGCTGCTTCCTGCAGTGTTCCCTAGGGGATGGGGGCCATTCCCAGGGCATGGCTTGCCCAAAGATCGGTGTTTAGCCTGAAAAACGTTCCACACTGAGATGGCACCAGGGGTTTGTGCCTCCCTGCCCCACGATTTGGCTGAGAAGGCTCCTGAGCCCACTGAGGGCACAAAGCCAGCTGAGCCCCAAGCTGGAGGGGAGTCCCTTGGCTCTTTCCTTGCAGCCACGCAGCCCTGGCCCCAATGCCAGCACCACCAGCCTGTGCCAGGCTCTGTCCAGGGCTGTCCCCAGCATCAGTGGGACACAGGGAGTGTGACCAGCAGTTTTCAGGCATGTACAGCCTGGCACAGTGGGAATTCAGGGTGGGGGGCACAGCCATGGTGACTTCTAGGCCCTGATTACTGTGCCAGCTCCAGACATTCCCTGAATTTGTCCCCATGGCATGGGAACAGGCCCTGCTGGCCAGTGCTGCCCCGAGGGACTGGCAGGGCTGGGAGCTGCAGGAGGCTCAGCAGGATGCCTGCACCTCTGCAGTGATTATTTTTGGGAACTGCTTGGTTTTCCTGTCAGGAGGAGCTGATCGAGCCTGGGGACACAGCTGGCTCTGCTGGTTTACAGATGCTTCTGCCTTCCCAGGTGAAGCCAGGCAAGGGCAGGCTGAAAGGGGCTTGTGCTGCTGCCTGCTTCTAACATTGGAACTTAAAATTGTTCATTTTGTAACAATATCAACATGTGGGAAAATATCTTGGGGTTGGTTTTTTGGGAGGGGAGAAGGGCTGCATTTATGTACACACTCGAACCACCTAAAAAATGAAAACAGGTGGGAAAGGGTGTAAAATATTTAATTGCAACATTTTGTGACTTTTCAATACGAAGTGACCTAAATAAAATTTTACCAAAAAATTCAATTTTAGTGATTTCTGCGCCTGCTGCGGCCGCGAGAGGGCGCTCGGTGTCCACCCACACAGGTGTGACCACGGCCAGGTACCGACACCTGACCGTGGTGGCTGCAACACATCCGGATAAAAACGGTGTTTAATTTATATAGTTGTCCTATACACGCTATTATAGCTTTCTACACACTGTGTAATAGGTATAGAAGCACCTGTGAGTTAATATAAAAATTATATATATTTATTTATTTATATTTTTATATTTATATTTACATATTTATATTTTTACATATTTATATATATACATATATGAATATAAAGTTTTATATATTTTAATATATGTACATATATACATTTATACATAAATTCACACACTATATATACACCCCCCAATATATATATGTATATACTTATATTTCATATATGTATACTATATATATGTATATACTGATACATATTTTTTATATCTTTTATATATATATAAATAAAAGGAGCATAATATAAGGAACTACAGTTCAGGAGAGTTATGGGGGGGTTTGTGCATAGGGGACAATATAAGGTACAAGGTAAATGTATGTCCATAGCTCTGTAACACACTATCTATACATATAATTATATAAAAACATTATATATATATAGTGTATATACATATAAATTATATATAATAATATGTATATTCTATAAATATTTATACATATAATAATTATACACATGTATATTTATACATGTAATAATTATCCAGTATATCACGTGTCTATGTACATTTGCACCCCCCTCCCCCCCCATTTAGTAATCTTTGTTATATGCATATCTTTCTCTGTAATCTCTATACTTTTTTTTGTGTCAACATGTTCTGCCAGGTGGAGGGAGGACAGGGAATTCTCCAAACACTCCACAATCCCTGCTGACTGTGTGTACCCAACAGGATGTTTTGCCTCCCCCAGTTGGCTGGAAATGCATTGCACTTTCTCCCTCACCCAGAAGTGCCACTAGTGGGCAAATCCCAGCCCATGGGCATTCCAGAGGCAGCGTGGTCTGGAGCTGATGAATGAAGGAGACCCTTCCCCATCTCCAAACCATATCAAAACCCCCATAATTGGGACTTTCCATCTTTAAGAAGCAACCAAGAATTCAGAAGTGACTGGAACCATTGGGTGAGAAGGGAGCAAATCTCCCAAAGGAGTGAAAATTTTATTCCTTCTTTTCCTCTGTGTTGGCACTGCTGTCCTGAGCCGTTTCCGTGGTCTGACAGACTTTCCTGGCTATACAGATCAAGTCAGGCAGGACAGAGAGACTCACGGCTGTTCGTAAAAATGGATGCTGCCCAAAGGGAAAAAAAGAAAGAAAGAAAGGAACTTTACTTTCCAAAGCCAGTTTCTCACAAGAGGAAGTATGAATTCTCTGCTTACCAGAAATACACATAAAAAGGACTGAGTCTTCAGTCTTAATATTCAGTCTTGCTGTCAGAGGCAATAATCAATTTATCAAGGTGTCTTCAGCTTGCTGGGATTTTGACCCTGCCAGTACTCTGGGAATGCCACTTGCTGCCTTAGGGCTTTTTCCATTTCAGGAAACTCAAAGGACTCACTTAGGTTCCTTTTTTCTAAAGGTAAGGGTAGCTTTAGTGGTCAGAAAAGATGAGTGCAAGCTGTTCCACAGGGAACTCCAGCACCTCTAAGAAAGGTTGATCCCATGAGGATATAGGGCTGTGCTGTTCTGCAGAACACTGAGGTGCAGGTTTTCAGTGCCAAGACAAGAACAGCCAAATCTCTGCTGGGCTGGGACTGGGTTCCTTTTCCACCAACACCATTTTGGGCCTCTGGACCTGGCACCATTCTCTGCAGTTCTCTTGCCACCAGCTAAAACTGAATGCACTCCAAAAATACAACACAGAAATGGTCAGAGGGTGGATGGAACACCTTTCCTCTGAGGAAAGGCCAAGAGAACTGGGATTGTTCAGCCTGGAGGAGAGAAGGCCCCAGGGAGACCTTATTGCAGCCTTTCAAAACTTCAAGGGAACTCATTTTTAGTAGGGCCTGTTGCAAAGGGACAAAGGATAATGGTTTTAAATGAAAATAGGCGACATTCTGGTCTAATGAAGAAACTGTTTATGCTAGGGGTAGTGAAACACTGGCACAGGTTGTCCAAAGAGGTGTTGGATGCCCCCTCTCTGAAAACATCCAAAGTCAGGTCAGACAGAGCTCTGAGCAACCTGATCCAGTTGAAGATGTCCCCACTCATGGCAGGGAGGTTGGACCAGATGGACTTTAAAGGTCCCTTCCAAGCCAAATTCTTGTATGATTCTACCTTGCAAAGCACCCAGATTGGGTGTCGCAGACATCCTTTTTGAAAAATCCTTTCCTTAGGAGTTTTCCTCCTGAGAAGCTAAGAGGCCTCAGGAACAAAATGTAAACAATGGTTATCTGCTGCTGTGGAATGCAACAGGTGCATCTGGGATTGGTCTCATGTGGTTGTTTCTAATTAATGACCAATCACAGTCAGCTGGCTTGGACTCTCTGTCCGAGACAGAAGCTTTTGTTATCATTCTTTCCTATTCTATTCTTAGCTAGCCTTCTGGTGAAATCCTTTCTTCTATTCTTTTAGTATAGTTTTAATGTAATATATATCATAAAATAATAAATCAAGACTTCTGAAACATGGAGTCAGATCCTCGTCTCTTCCCTCATCCAAGAACCCCTGTGAACACGGTCACAACTGGGGATTATCAGGAGAGGGGACATTCCCCTGCAGCCCCTGGGCCTGTACCTGCAGGAGCTCCCTGGCTGTCCAGCGGATGCTGGGGTTGGTGTCCAAGCAGGAGTGCAGGAAAGCATGGAACAGAATGGACATCTTGCTGGGCATCCTCAGAGGGGGGTACCTGTTCCGGGCAATCAGGCGCTGAGCCTGGGGACAGAGGAAGCACGGGACAGCCACTGACCATCCCTGGGCTGACAGCTCCACTGCAGGCCCCTCCTGGCTGTCTGAGAGCTCCTGGTGCCTCTCAAGGGGCTGTGATCAGCGTTTGAGGGCAAGGAAGGAGGGAACTGTCAGCCTCCAGAGCAGTGTAGCTGAGTGTAGCTGAGCTGGTCAGAGCATGGTGCTGGTAACAGCAATCCCCAGATGGGCCATTCACTCAGGAGCTGGACTTGGTGGTCTCTCCCAACTCAGAATATTCTGGGATCTGGAAATCATTCTCTTCATCTGAGTTTGCTGCCTTATACAAGGCAAAAGCAATCCAAAAGTCGGGGAACTTTTTCAAAAAGAGTGGAAGACTGAAGTCTTCAGAACTGCTGTCTTCCTCAGGAATTAACTGTGCAGCATTTCACCTGGTATCAGCTGATAGCTATGAGATTTTATCCTGGTATACATTTCTCTACTATTCCTTGCTTGTTTGATATAAGAACTCATAATTTCATTTTAAGGAATTAGGATCTAAAACTGAAAGCTTCAAAATATGTTTACTACAAGTAGCTTTGCTCAAATATACTTTTAGAAATTTTTATGGTAATACATAATTATGGCATCACTAGAACCAGTGACCCTCCCTTAAAGGCACTCGTCAGAATTTGAAAAGGCTTCTGGGCCTGCAGATACACTTGTAATGCTTTTCATAATAATTTCCCAATTGGAGAAACTTGCTGCTGTCATTCCCAGCTCCATCTCAGAGAGAGATCAAACACAGCAGGAGGAACCACAACAGTGCTGGAGGCCAAAAAGGCCTCAGGCAAAACCAAAAGGCCAAAAAGGCACATTTTTGCACTAGCACAGGTCACTTCTCTCATGACATGTTCTGCAGGGACATTTCTAGAAGTGGGCCTTGGTGGAACTATTTCAGGCTGCTTTAAGTGGGATTTTGGTTCATGGGAGACAAAGAATGGGACAGATTGGCAAGACAGTGGCATCTGACAGTGTTTGCACCTTACCTGGATGGGGCTTTCTTTAAAGTATGGAGGTTCTCCCTCCAGCATTTCAATGGCCACAATCCCAAGGGCCCAGATGTCCACTTGGGTGTCATATTCCTTTCTTTTCACAATTTCTGGTGCTACCCAGTAAGGAGAGCCAAGCATTGTGCACCGTGTGCTCCGCTCCGAGCTCAGCTGAGCACACAGGCCAAAATCAGCTGAGGAGGAAAACAAAAATACTGTCAAAGCCAGCTTGAACCATGGAACCAAGCACAAGAATTCCCCACTCTGTGCCTGAGAACACAGGGATGCTGTGACCAACCAAGAACACCTACTCAGTTTCACAGAGCCGTCCATCCCGAGAAGAATATTGTCACTTTTAACATCTCTGTGGATCACATTGTTTGAATGAAGGAAGTCCAGGGCTTTGAGGCACTGAGACAAAACCCATGAGGGTAAAAATTAGTTAACCTCATTTCATCACACAAGACAAGGAAACAGCTCTAAAAGATTGAATTTCTAGGTGAAACACCAATTGTTGATATAGACTGACCATTCCTAAACCAGCCAGAATGGCTGCAGTGGTTCTGCTCTCTCCATCCAGGTGACAAAGGAGGATTTGTCAAAAAAAAATCTCTCCCTCCATTATAAAGTGGATCACTTTTGTGTGGGAGGCTGCATGACAGAGGTTTTATGTTGGCCTCAACAGCACATTAAGCAGCAAATTAGTCACTTTACAGAAACAAACACCATTTGGGGTGCAATGCTCTCCTTTTAAGCTGAGGGCTGTGAGAAATGAGGCTCTGTTTTAATTTGCTGTTAATTTAAAATTCTGCCACCAGCATGTTTGCTTTCACAGGCCAAAAATGCAGTGCAGACATGCTCCAGTTTAATGAGGCAAAGTTTAGAATGTTAAATAAATTTAAAAAGAGACTGACAAAAGTGTCCAATAACAGAGTATAAGAAATGTAGTTGTATTGGCAGGAAGCTCACTCAGATGCCCTTTGTCTTAGGTTGACACACATCTTGCAAATGTACATTTAGATGAGAAAACAATGAGTAACAAGTACTGAGAGCAAAGCTATAAAGTGGACAGGTTCTCTGCTGCATGGCATTGCATTACAGGAATACTCAGACCCGGGATGGTTATTACAAGTAGTAAAAACAATTCACAACACCTCACAAAAATGGAATGTTTTCCCAGTCAAATCTTCTGACAAAAGGAAATTCTGTTAAGGGAGAAGAGCCATAGGGAATAGAGGTGTGGATCTAGGTACATTTTGTGATTTTGTGGAACGGCTTTTTGGGGTTTCTTTAAGTCTATTTCTCACAAAATGCATCTTTGTGAGTGACCCCATGTCCTCCAAGACTTTGCCCATTTTCTGTCCTCCACTGCCTGTGGTTCTGTTGGCAGTGTACTATTTCATTTGCATTTTTAACTTTCCTAGTAAAGAACTGTTATTCCTATTCCCCTATCTTTCCTGACAGCCTCTTAATTTCAAAATTATAATAATTCAGAGAGAGGGGGTTTACATTTTCCATTTCAAGAGAAGCTCCTGCCTTCCTTAATAGACACCTGTCTTTTCAAACCAAGACACCCTTTTATTTTACATTTCATAACAGCAGCACTGAAATAAAGCTCTGAACACAAAGTCACTCCTGTCCAAACTATTGGAAGCCCAAGCAGGGTCCCTCACCTCCTTGCTGATAGCAGCTATCATTCCTTCCTCCATTAAGACTCGGACAAGAACGCTGGTTAAAGTGCCTCCATCCACATATTCCATCACGAGCCACAGGTCTTCATTCACCAGGTAGCTGAGAGAAGAAAACAATGGCACAGAGATGAATGTGCACAGCTAAATTACCTTGTGGAAAAGACTGCAGGGGGGTTTTGTTTGCAGGTCACTTGTAAATGGAGGCAGAATGTAATGGAGAGACATTCCTTGTCTCTACAAGAGTATTTGGAACCTGTGCAGTCTAAATGAGAAAGGGTGATGAGAAATGAAAGGAAAAATGCAATTTAGTAACAGCAGAGATCAATCTGGAACCAGGACAGTTGCCATCAACTGAGTCATTATCTTAATTTATCACTTCCACCATTCACTCCAGGAACAAGGCAACACAACTCCAGAGTTATCCGTGGGAGGAGGCTCTGCAGCACTGAGGACAGCTGTTGGCCAACCATTTGGAAAACACTGCATAAAATACAGTCAGAAACAGGAAAAACTGTGTAGAAGCTGGCAAATTATGTGGCTCTGCAAATGAGAATTTAAGTCTTCCTGGCTTCCACAGCAATGGAAAATGGTGGGAACAGCCCAAGGGAGAAAATTTCTATGATGGTTTATCAGCACTTATCATTAAGGCATGGAAAATATGATCAACCTGTAAAAACCAAACCCTCCAAACAACACAGAGGTAATGAACTGACAGGCTGTTGTTTTAGTAAGACATGGCACATCCAGGTTTTGAAAAGAGGTTTCCAACAACATACACCAAAAAATATTAATGGAGACGCAAGGCCATCTCCACCCATCCACTGGAGATGAATAGAGAAATAAGAAAGAGCTCCATGTTCTGCCAGTGCCCAAAGGGGTTTTTTAACCTTTGCCTTGCTGTGTGTGAACAAACATTCCCATGCTAACAGCAGAACCACTCACCTGTCTATATAATTGACAATATTGGGATGCCGGTTTTCCTTCATGATCTGAATCTCGTTGAAAAGGAGTTCCTTCCTGCTCCGTCTGCGCAGAGGCATCTTCTTCAGGGCCACCTGAAATGAGAGTGGGGCCCATGAGCTCCAAAAGTTCTGCTGCAGGAAAGCTCTGTGGCCTCAGCTCTCTTCACAGAGAGCAGCAGGCACAACTTACCAAGGATTTTTCCTGGGAAGGCAGTGAGAAGCACAGAGAGAAGAAGAGAAAACAATTCTTATCTCTATTCACTGCTCCTGTTTTTGCACATGTGGAATGTGTTATGGAGATTGTTTACCCAAAGTGAGTTGTTAATTGGACACAGGTGAAAGTTGTTTTGAGTGATTAGCCAATCACTCAAAGCTGTGTCTGACTGTGTGGAGACAGTTATGGGTTTTCTTTAGTATAGTTATAATATAGTAGTAGTGTAATATAGTATAGTTTTAATAAAGCAATTGTTCAACCTTCTGAATCATGGAGTCAGAGCACATTATTTGCTGCATTGGGGGTGCCTAGCTTGGATAGAGCAAAATGACCATGGAGAGAGTGTTTTTGGAATGATGGGGCTGGGCTGTGCCAACTGCCCTGTGACCTTGTGATCAGACACCAGGGCTCAGGAAGTGACAGGACAATAACTGATTTCTTCACTTGCTTGGGTGCCACTTACAGGACACTTGCCAGACACATTTTGCCTTCTAAACTCTGCAAAATTTTCCCTTATCCCTAATAAAATTTTCCCCATAGATTTCTGACAATACCCTGCACCCACATTCTTCCCTGATGGCCTCAGTTTATCACCTCTGTTGTTATTCACACAGGTTTTTGCAAGCAGGATTTTGTGACTGTGAAAATATATCAAAACAGCTGGGAATCCTTCAGCAATTCTATGGAGTTTGGCCATTATTTCAGCAACTGCTGCTGGTCTTGGTTGCATAACAAAGCAAACATGTGTACATGATGGATAAAATCCCATCCTAAAAGATGATAGCAGTTACACACACAAAAAAATTACAATCCCACAACACTTCTCAGTTCTTGAACTTCGATTTTGCTACTCTGAACTCCACAGTTCAGATTTGCAATTATTTTCTGGGTTTCTAAAGAAATAACCCATTCTCTGGTATTTTAAGCCTTCATTATGTCCCTCTCTGAAAGACACCACTGGCCCTCTAGCATTCTTTCTGGACCTGAGTATGAACAATGCCTGTCCAAAATGAGTTTTGCAGGCTGCCACTGCTCTATGCTTGAGGAAAGGCTGTGCAGGAAAGCTCTACTGGGCACCCAAAACTCCAGCAGAGGGGAAAGCCCTGAAGAGCTGCTCAGTGTGCTGGGGGTGTTGGCACTCACCACATCTCCTGTGGCTGGGTCCGTGGCTTTGTAAACAGTCCCGAAACCCCTGGAAACAAAAGAGCAGTGAAGAAATGAGAAGCAGTTCAGGTGCTGGGAGTGAAAGCCTGCCCAGACAGGAGATCTCTGCCGCATGAAGTGTTTTAAAACACCTTGGTTCATCTATTCTTCAAACAGCAGCACAGCAGCCCTCTGTCATGCTGGGTGTTCAAGGGACAACTGAGTAGAAAACTAAAGAAAAAGATCTGGAGCACAGATCTTCAAAACCTAAGAGCAGGGGGAGGGTGTCCCTACAAAAACTGAAAAATAATTTCTTTTCCACTTTGCCTTGTTGTGTTGGTTTTTTTCCTTCTTTTTGTGTCTCTGTGTGTCTTTTTTCCCAGGGAATGCATACTGCAGGCTACACAGAGTGGGATTTTGTATGACAGTGCAAAAGCTTATTATTTCACCTCCAGTTTCAATTGCTAAACTATGTGGTTATAATCTGGATTACTGAAGGTTTTTAAGTAAAATCTTTGAAATAAATGTCATTGAGAACTTTTACCTGACAGCTGTGGGGTGGTAAGGTGTTCTTTTAGGCAATGAGGTTTGAGGGATGGGAGATTTTTCAGGTTCTGCTCCTTGTTGCAGGTGAGGCACTGCCAGCATCGAGTTTTCTTTGACAACACCTTCTGACCACAATTATTAATTCTGACCTGTACTGAGACGGGAGGATCTAAACCCACATCATGTTTGGAGCTTGCCTGGATTCACACTTGATATTACAGCAGCAAAATGCCCAGCCATGGTTTTGTAGGAGTAACTGGGATGGGACTTACCCTTGGCCAACTTGAACAAAATCAATGTATTTGGTCTTAGGGTCCCCCTCGTTGACAATGCCCCCTGAAAGAAATGAAATGCAGGATGCTCAATTCTAACAGACACCACCCTCCAGCAGATGGGAAATGCAGCCCCTCTGTCTGGCTGTGAGCCCTCTGCGGGCAACAACAGCAACAGAGGCAGCTCCAAAGCACAGATATTTCCACATATATTTCTCTTTGAAGAGTTACCTTGACAGGAAGCAAAGCACCAGCAGAAATATTCACAAGAGACAGGAAAGACCAGGTACCAAAGCAAGAGTTTGTTTTCTACAAATATTTAGGAGAGCTAAAACAACACAGCCTTTATTTTCCTGCGAATAACCCCTTTGTGTGATTCAACAAAAGGTTTAATATTTCTGAAGATTTAATGCACCTTGGGTTTTGGGATTCATTTTTAAGAAACTGTGCAAAGTGTTTCCTGGAGAGAAGGGGACCTTGCCAACTTTCAGCAGTTCACCAAAGGATTGTCTTTATGATTTTAAAGAACAGCATCTCATGTTATAATCAAGAATGATGGGGCTTTAGGATCCAGGACCCTCATCATGGGTTACCAGGCTAAGTTCTGGTGATAACCTTGCCTGTGCCATTTGAAGGACCACACTGCTCGTCTTCAGTCTAATAATAGATTGCTGTGAAGTATTTTTGCTCCAATGACTTGTCAGGGGGCTAAAGAGATTTTAGGAACCCAAATATCCTGCTTGATTAGGCCATCAGCACTCAGGAGTTCAGTAGCTCATTCACTAGGTCACAGCACCTTCTGCTGAATCAGAAACCATCCCTGCTTTTGCCTTCAGCACAGATGGAAGGGCAGGGAAACTGAACCCAGTCTGAGCTGCCCTGAGGGATGCCCAGAGATAATTCTGCTTCCTGTGTCCCTTTGGTGCAGCTGAGGCTGGGACACACACACCAGACGAGAGGCACAGCACACGTACTCAGCTGTTCCAGCACTTCCTCTGTCACACAGAATTTCTTCTGCGGCCGGACCCTGGGTTTGTCCAGAGCACCTGAGCTTCTGCTGAGGGTGTCAGACAGGAGAAGTGTCTCATCATCTGCATCTTCAGCTCCCAGCAGAGAGCTCGTGTGGATCTGTGATGAGAAATCAGTGTCAGGAAGGGAGCTGGCAGGGATCCCCTGTGCTTGTATTCCAAATGCAAACCCTCAGGAAGACGCCTGTAAGCCATATCCACTGCTCTAAACAGCTTTTTGCTGTCCACATCACAAACTGAATGAATAAAACCAAAGCAAGTTCATGGCCAGTTACATGTTCAATTTTCATGGATTTTCTCAAATAATCTGTGCAGAGGGGCAGGTACATCCAGGAGACAATTTCTCCTGTATCCTGCAAGGGAAACTGATGACTAAAAGGGAAATTCAAACCCAATTTTCCAGGTGCCAGTGGCTGGGGTGAAGCACAATGTCATGGCAGGACTCCAGCTGTGAATGGCAGCTGCTGAATGGCAGAAACTCTCAGTTGCACCAATGGTAACCAAAGCTGGCACTCACTGATCCTCCTGAGGAAACAGCTGCAGGTTCCTTGTCCACTTTCTTCTCATTATCCTCTTGTCCAGGAAGGGAAAGAGCCAGCTGAGGTTCTGGTGGCAATGTTGTGGCTTGGGGACAGGAGTGAGAGTCTCCCTTCTGCCATTTGGGAGGTTTGATAGTTAAACACAACTTTCAGCTGCTTTGACATCAGAAACTGATCTAGACATGCACATGGTCCTACAGCCTCAATTCTCTGTTGCACATGTCCCAGTACAATTTAAATATCTATAAATTATGGGGGGTTGAAACAACCCCAGCTGCTGCTCTGCAGGGGCAGAGCACTACATCAAGTTGCCCCAAATTTGCTGTTTCCAACTGCTTTAAAGCTTAAAGGCCACTTAGAGAACTGAAGCAAATCAAAGGCACCATTCTACACCTTCACACCTCACTGGTGCTCTATTTAAAATGCTTAATATTAACCCTAATAAATTTAGCCAGTGGATGTCATGCCTCTCTCTAGGATTGTTATTGCAACTCAACATTTATTAGTGTGGATTGTTATTTAAAACTTCCTTTCAATGGTTCCAGTGAGTTACATTACCAATTATAACCTTATTTATGCTCAGCTATATATCCAGTGGTACTAAAGATAAATCATTAAATTTGCTAGAAAGGGAATTCTAAGTTGTTAAAACTAAATGAAAATGGGGCAATTATACAGTATTGAAAGTTGCTGTGACTTAGATATTCCACCATGGCTAAACCCACAATCTTCCCCCAGCAAAACCAGACTTTAATTTGTTTAAAAGCTTTGAACAGAAACTGAGGAAACAGCCAGGGATCCCTTTGCTGCTGCTGCAAAACCAGACATGGACATTTTTTCAGGGTGGCACGCTGTTGGAGCAGGCAAAGTTCATACACAGCTCACTCCACAGTTCTTAAACTCTAGGGATGTCAAAGGTTCCTTTCCCACTCACCAAAGGACAGGTTGCCATGTATCCCCCTCTGGATAACTGGATGATCAGATCTGCAGTGGGCAAGAGAAGATGAACCAGATGCTGTTAGAAAACTGCCTCTTGTGGGGCATCCTCCATGGAACAAGTCAGCCCAAATAAAAGGGCATTTTTATTTCACCAAATCCCTCCAGGAGCAACAGTTCTTTTCCACAGTAAGGAACAGAACAGGACAAAATACCAGATTAATTTTTTTTTTATACCTTTCTATTTTTTGTCCTGTTTCACCAGCAAATAAGTAGAAACTCAGTCAAGAAAATGCAAATTGTTCTTTAATAGTCAATGATTCTGCTCTGCCCAAGAGCTAAAGAAGTTTTCCTACTATTAAATTGCATATGTTGGTTCTCCTTAGCTTGCTGAAAATGCTTCCCTAGAAAAGCTTTCCCAAAATCCCCTTAGCTGTGTGAATTGTATTCTGATACTGCACAGGAACAGCTCCTGGGTTCAGGAGCATACACTATTGGGAAGTTACATCTCCTCATGAAGGTTATCACTATTTTAGCACAGGTGGTTAGTAAAATCTTTTAATTATGGGGGGAAAAAGATCTTTTCCCTCAGTTCTGAAGATAATTGCACAGTTTTTGTAAGCACTTCTGACAAGCTCTTCCAGGCTGCATTTTGGAAAGAGCAAAGTGAGGGAATTACAGACTCCCCAAGCTGTTGTGCATAGGGAATGGAACCCCCACAGGGCTCCCCACATTCCAAATGCTGTCCCCATTGAGATACCCTTTTTAGCAGAAGCTGTTGACAGGAGCTCTACCAAACCAATGCCATCTCAGTGTCATTGCTGTTCCAAATTCAGCTCAGTTCCTAAGGAAGAGCAGAAAGGCCACAGTGATCCCAAAGCCAGGTATGCTGCACCTAGGGCAAAGCACTACTCACTCCTCAGATGAGCTGTCAGCAGCCAGGGTTTATCTGGGTCAAAATACAGCGCAGATGCAGCAGACAGAAAATCACGCACTGTGGCAACAACTTGCTGGATCATTTCTGCAGAGCTGTGCTAGAACTTGCAGAGCTGCATAACCCAAAATTCAGCTAAAACCTTTGCTGGTGTGCAGGCAGCCCACTGAGAACTCCTGGAGGAGGAGGATCCTCCTGGAATGCCAGCAGAAGGGGCATTGAGGTGGTCTGGGTTGCAGGAATGGCAGCGTCCCGTTGGCACTGCAGGGATGTGCCAACCTTTCAGTGGCACCCCAACGGGCCCTGACATCACAGTGGCAGCAGCTGCAGGTTCACGCTCTGTGGAACGGTTCCAGGCTGCTCCTGCAGCAGCTGGATGCTCCATTTAGCTCATTCTGGAGCCTGACATCCCTTTATGGCAGTGAGATGTCAACCTTCCTCCTGATGCAAAGCTCCTATTTCTGGATGGAGCTCACCATGGAAAATGGAAATTTCCACGGTGAGTTCCATTTCTGCATGGAGCTCATCATGGAAATCAATTCTTCACTTCCATGGAGTAAAAATTTAAGGCTAAACTCTACTGTATTTGCAGGGTTCCCAGTTGAAGGAAGGAATGATGAATCTGACTCCATGTTCTTAGCAGTCTAATTTATTATTTTATGATACTATATTATATAAAAGAATACTAAACCAAAGAGTACAGAAAGGATACTTACAGAAGGCTAAAAAGATAATAATGAAAAGTTGTGACTCTTTCCAGAGCCCTGACACAGCTTGGCACTGATTGGCCAAAGAGTGAAAATAACTCACCAGAATCCAATAAAACAATCACCTGTGGGTAAACAATCTCCAAACACATCTCACAAGAGCACAATACAGGAGAAGCAAATGAGATAATTATTGTTTTCCTTTTCTCTGAGGCTTCTCAGCTACGCAGGAGCAAAATCCTGGGATTATGTATTTATATTTTATATATTTATCCAGTTATATATTTATATTTTATATATATATATCCAGTTATATTTTCTGGACTTTTCCAGAAAATATAACTGTGACAAAACTCATTTTCCTGATGATTCTTTGATTCCATTACAAAGCTCTTCTCTATTGGCAGAGAACGCTGGATTTTTGATCCTCAGTAACAAAAACATCTCGCTGAAATGGTCTCTGCTGTCAGATTAGAGGGTAAGCCCCACCCTGATGGAATTACTTTTCAGCACACCAAGGAACACTGTGGGGGAAACTTTGTCTCACAATCCTAACACCGAGGTGCTAAGGACTCTCCTGGTCCAGCTCCTGTAGCTCTGCTGTCAATGTACAGAAAATTGAGCTTGGAAATCCCTGATGCCCCTACAAAAATAGATTGCCTTGGATGTGAGGGAACCCCGCAGGATCAGCTCCCTCAGTGGACAGACAGCTCTTCAATCCTTCTCCTCTCCAATTTCTGTGTGCACAGAAGATGTGCTCAGGCTCTGAATAGCTTTTCTCTCTGCAACAATGGAATATCAGGGCCCTTTCAGAGCATAATTTCAACTATTTCTCTCCCTTCCACCCTCTCATGAATTACTAATTTAAAGTGACTTAATATCTATTCTCTATTCCCCGTCGGCTTTGCATATTTTAATTATGCCTCTTCCTAATCCTCATTTTCCCAGAACAGACTTAAATAACCCAAATTACCCCATCAGTAACAGTCTTTGATACGTCAGTTATTGCAGCTAATTTGCCACTTTTGCCAAACATGCTATTTTTGTGGGTTTTTTTCTAACACCAAGTGATCATACACTCTGTTCCACCAGCTTTTACCTACAAACCAAAGTGATCTGCTGCATGAAATTACATCTCCATCAAAATTTGGTTTTTTTTAAAGTATTATTGCTGCTAAATCACTTCCTGGAAGATTTTAGTGACATTTTGCAGCCTTATCTTGGACTGCCAATAGGCAGGTGAGGACAGTGCTGAAGATGCTGGGAGAAACCCTGCTTGTCTCTGCTCAGCCTGAGGATTGCACCAGTTCAAAACAGAACAATAAATGTCCTTTGCAAAGGGATTTTTCTGCAAAACACTGAGGCTTTTGTCAGAATGCAATGTTTGCCAAGAGAGAGCTATTTCTGCAGTGAGAGGGCATCTTTAGCCAAGACAATAAATAACTACTGGTCCCAGAGAGCTGCTGCCCACAGGCTCTCAGGAGTGGCTGCAGCCATGTGCTTGTGCAGCACAAGAAAAACAGCCCCAGGTAAAATAGAAAGCCCCTAAAAAGAAAACAAGCTCACACTCATACTTAATAATGCAGATATTGGATCTGTCATATTACTTTAGGAGGCAAAGAAAATGTGACCTTGGCATTTTTATTAAGCTTTTCCTCTGTCACTTTGAAGCAAACTTTTGAAGGGTGAAATTTCATTTATTTTCAGGAAATACAGATCCCAGGGACAGGCAGACAGGGAGGGGCTGCAGGAGCAGGCTGTGCCCCTGGAGCTGTGACAAAGGCAGACTGCCAGGCACTGGGCACAGTCTCAGTGCCTGGCTCATCAGGGTCCTTGTTTGGAAGGAAGCTCCTTGCAATCCCATCCTTTTTTGCTCCAAGCAGGGCCCAGCCCCAACCCACTGAGTGTCCTCAGCAAGAGCAGCAGTAAGGAATGGCATTTGAGCACAAGGCATCATGTAAAACCAAGCCATCCAGACAAGGAATGCCAGCAATGAATGTGGAGCAGGATTCTGAGCGGCCCCAGGGCCCTTGGATGTGAGCAGGATTCTGAGGTGCCCCAGGGCTCTTGGACCACATTTCAGTGTAAATGTGGTACTGAGATCACCAAAACCAAGAGAGCAAAGCCCAAAAGTGCCATGAGCTTCTGAGGAGCAGGGAGCACCGCCTGGGGATTAACCACCAGAAATGCTCCAGGCCTGGGTTTCACTTTCCACCTGCTGAGGCAGGGAGATTTATCCAGCTTCAAGCATGGAAGAGCACATCATGTTTGCAGTGTGCCCCGCTTCAACAGTGATCTTCTCATCCCCGGCAGCTTCCCTTCTCCACGGGCATCCACCTGTTGGGAAATATATTTGGAAAAAAAAAGTTACTTAAATAAATAGCACTCAGGAATGACCCCTTCTTCCAGAATTTCATTTGGTGTTACGTGAGGAGCTCTTTCTGTGCGTGTTATCAAGAAATTTACTCAATTGTGCTTTCCTACTGTATGGGGTGGCTTTACTTCGCCCTGCTGGTGCTGCTGTCTAGGGTTTACTTTTACCATCACACATCCCTCGCATGGGCGCTTGGAACGTGTTCCCGCTGAGCTGAGGAGGGCAGACCGGGACAGCTTCACGGCAAGGGATCCACACCCTGCAGGTCCGACCCCACCTCAGCTCGGAGCTTCGACTGCCCCGAGCGCCAGATCTGGAGCTCCCCTCACGCTGCACACCCCGCAGTCCCCATCCCCACAAACGGAGAGGGGGAGCCCCAGACGCTCCAGAGTC